AATTGACTTTCAGCGTGATGAAGTAATCAGTATTTCAAAAACTTTACGCGTATCTGATGGGTGTTGGTTATCATCCTTTTCCTCAGTAAGTGCACTATTAAAGCCGACCATTAGCAGGTGTATTTTAGAGTGTTTAATATTTGATAAAAGTTTAGCGAACAAGCTCTCATGCATTTCTCGAAACACTTTCTTCGAGCTCCCTTCAAGAAAATGTTGTCGCTTCTTGGGTTTATCATTTTTATTAGGAACGAAATTTCTTACTTACAATGGTATCTTTCCGTAGTTTTATTCGCTCATCGATATGCTCAAACGTTCGCAACAATTCACGAATTCCTTCTCAAAAACGTGGTTTCTCCGTATTTCTGCTGCTTCCTGCTTAGTTTCTTTATATTTTCAGGCCCAAGAGAGATCATTTCAAGAAAAGGCAGATTGTCTTACTAATTAAAGCAGATCGACTTCAGGCTCGTCTTTCACCTTTCAGAACACAACAATTCTTAGAAAAGCAGGATGTTTATCGTTAATATTCTTACAACTCGCTTCCTGTGTTTCGCATTCCTATTAAGTAGGAATTTTACAAATAACAATAGAATCGTTTTTTTCAAGTTTTGATTGCTCAGAAATTTGTATCAATTCAAAACCGTTGCTTGGAAAGAGATTTCGACCAATTCAGCGTTGTTTGCATGACATCAGATCTCTTCATCCTGTGTGCTTGAATGCCAAACTCGCTTGGAGATTCCAAGAAAGACCGGATTTTTATGTCAATTAGCTCTGTCGTTTAACAAGGTCAAGACTCGTACTCATCGGCTTTCATAAACGTCTCGCCTGCAGCAGTAATGTTAACTACGTACACACCCGAGATTCATTGTAAATAATTGATTCTTTTTTACGCAATGTTGAAGAACCAAAAACAAACAAAAGCGGTTTTCCAAGTGAGCCAGAGGTTCTTCCCTGTTTTGAAATGAACTACAAATCCTCGGAGAGGCATAAAAAAACCTCTTTCGCTCGCGACAACAAGAAAGCGAGAAAATCCTGTGAACACGACCCAGAAAACGGCAAGCAAAAGGTCAACTTCAATGACTCTTTGAACATTGTAGGAGTACGTGTCACGTCACGCCACAAGCAAGCTCGACGATTTCATGTAATGCTAAGCAATTTAATGTTGAGCTAGAGCGTCTGATGTTCTGCAAAGCTCTTCGACGTAACGCTACACCATTTGTGTGTACGCTAACTCGAGATGGGCAACTAGACCGTTTATCATTTGGCTAGACTATTCATGTTTCATGAACGAAAACTAAACTGTCTATAATTTGGCCACGCCATTCCTTTATTAGCTATGCTATCTTGCAGCTGATCCTTAGACCAGCTATATATTTGCTGATCTATTTGACATCCTTGTATTTTCGGTGGCGACGGCCGCCCATACTGTGTTTTATGAAAGAGCGACAGCCGAATTCCAGAAACATGAAGATCGCTCGTGATGGCACCACCGTAAAACTCGGCTGCTGTGACTGTTGTGGTCTTCCACTCAATGAATCGGAAAGGATATCAGAGCAAACCCTTAATTGTTCACTCGAAGGGCGGCCAATGTAATTTCTGAGGCTTGCATTGCTTCACTGCAATGACCGGAGATCGCCATGATGCATGAGCTAGCTGTGATTGACCTCAGCATGACCACAGTCGCTCTGAGTCCTTCATGATTTGTATGAATTTTGACAGTTATACCAGTTTATTTTTATTTTCATCATTCCTGTTTTGTTCTGTTTTGTTTTTGAACACAAAACTATATATACTTTACGAGTGTTAGCTTTGTTTGATTTTGATTTACCATACGTAAGCTAATACAATCTAACTGAGCGTAGAAACCTTGAACACATGGACTATCCATTCAGCTTCTCTTTGAAGATTTTCGTCTCTGCTCACATTCTTTAAACGTCAATAAGGCGCTTGGCATGTTTAAAAACCTTTGTTTGGTACTTCTGTGGTTACTTGCCGGCTCGCCTGTTCCGAAATTTCACTTTCAATTAACGAGAAAAAGCTAGAGAGAAGTCCGAGAAAGACAACTTTAGTTCAGCTCCATGTTTTGCACTCTGATAGAGCATGCGCTTCCAACCAAAGACAGCGCGTTATATCCGAACTTTATTACAGTAATTCTTAAAGATCCTTTTAACGGGGAAAATAACTTTGGCGAGTGAGCAGATAAACAGAGTTTGCAAACGGTGGCAAAGCACTGGGTGATAAAAGTTTTCAGTGGGATCTAAACCCTGATCGATGCTCACCTCACTTTGCAAAAGTTGGATCGTCATCGGTTCAAAAAGTTTCAAAGAATACTGATTTTGATTTATAATTCTGTTTTCAAGGCCTTTCGAGTAGTTTGCTCAATGAAAAATAGATTTTTTTGTCTTCAAAGGCATTTTATGGAAGCTTTGAATTGCTTGTAAGACGCTAGTTAAGCTTATTTGATGTTGCAAATGGTGCTGTGGAATGAAAGAACGTCGTGATTTTCATGACCAACCCACATATTTCAATAGGACTGTCCAGGTATCAAGGTGGAGCAAGCTTTGATTCAACTTGAAATCCAAATGTTTAACGAGAGAAAGGCTTGTTATTACGCTCCCCTGGGTTGTTATCAATGTATATGGAACTCCCTGTAGCTTGTTTTGTCTGAGCTAAATTGTTCCTATGCAAGTCTTTGTCTTGCAAGCAAAATATAATTCCATAAACTAAAGCAGCAGTCCCTTTTGCACATCGCACTTCAAGTTCCTACTTTAACAGCCACCTCTTTTCTACTTTTCATGGAAAGTGGACAGATTGTTCCTTCTTCATAAACTCTGTTGGGATGATCTCTGAGATCCTCCACAATGTTGTTGCTCCGTATTTCCGCTGCTTCTTGATTTTTTTGTCAATTTTTACAGAACCAAGAGAGATTTATTAAGAAAAGGTAGAATGTCCTACTGATTGAAGCAAATCGACTCTGACTTTGTCTTCCCGCCTCTCGGAAAACAGCGATTCTCAGAAAAGCAGGATTTCATCTTTAATATACTTATAATCTTTTGTGAATGACATAGTTAAGAGAGTCAACACGAAAATTCAGTGCAAATGTATGCATAGAGACTATAGGAAAAGGGACAATAATGATAATGACGATGTTCCTTTTTCTTTTGTAATTACTGGCTTTTAAAAAGCCTTTCATAAACCGATTCGTATACGCCAAAACGTACTTGCAATTCCAAATCAACAACAATCAAATTTAACGACACACACACACACAAAATCATACAGGATTGAAACATCAATATCGGTGAGAAATCACATGATATTATCTGTAAAAATTCTTACAAAGCCAGAAACCAAGATGCGTAAGTAAGTTTCGCAGCTATCTCACAAAGCGAGACTGTGAACACCTTGCGATTTACTCAGGTTCTTTCAATCGATTTCCACTTTAACACGCGGTATTTATTTCGAAAAAAATTGCTTTGTGCCGTTTATGCTTAGCACTGCATGGCCAAGTACCACATTTTGAGTTAACCCTTTAAATCCCATGAGGGACCATGACAGAATTTCTCCTTAAAGTATCATATTATTGGTTGATCCAACACAAAATTCTCAGAACTAACATCATAAAACTTGTATGGTAGATAGAAAGGAGAATTACCAAAGAGATTTTGGGAAAGAAAGGATTAAAAAGAAAATACGAGTAGAGGCAAGTTACTATGATTGTTTTGAATCTAATGCGACAGGCAAGACGTGGAGCTCGCTCATTGGTTGATTAATTCAATTCAAACACGAATTTGAAAGCGACCTTCGTAGTAATGAACACCACTTAAGCGGTAGTGAAAATAAGGCCTGAAAAAAATCAGGTCTATACGGAATTTGAACCCATACCTCTGCGATACCGATACCACCTGAGCTAACAAGCCAACTGGGAGGTGGTCACTTTGTTGGTTCGTAATAAACCCGTGTAGTGATAAATCAGTGACTGTAATTATATGAAAATCATATAATTATGTGAAAGGGCCTCGAGAACATTTCCTCCTTCATCAATAAAGTCAGTGATTGTTCTGACATTCAGTGAACCACCAAATACTTTAACAAATGGGGCAAATATCAAAAGATACTAACAAAGAAATTCTCTATATTTTACAAGAGAGAGAGGCTTGAGTCACCAGGCTTAATTAGTGTTCATTACTTCGAAGATCGCTTTCAAATTCATTTCTCAAACCGCAGTTCACTTATATGATTTTTGAGTTATTTTCTTTATAAAGAAAAACGATAACTCTGTGTTAGCGTGTAGAGTGGTAGGTTGCTCGCACCAATCAGATTGCCGTAGTTGGGTATGTATCTCGCACCAATCAGATTGCCGCATAAGGGTGTTTTCTCTCTGTTAGAGGAACGGTAGTAAGCTTAGTTTCTTTCGCAACCGTTATTTGATCTCATCGTGCAACGTGCTTTCTCTCCGACGGGGAATATATGGCGTTGTGGGACGAGGCAACGGCTGTGAGGAAAAAAAACAATTAGTATAGCACCGATGCATTTTGTTTTTGCGTACTTAAAAGTAAATAGACAATAGACCACAAAATACCTGTGTGAGTTCTGATAAATTAGGTTTTTTTTTCTTTTGTCTCTCTTGAGGTGATTGAAGTAATGCGATATTTTGGACCGTTTGAAAGTTGTGGTCTTTTATTGTTACAAAAATGAAAACATTAGGTACACAAAGTGTTCCATCTCAACCCGCCCAGTAAAAAAAATCTCTTGCATGCTGCGCATACCAATGTTCATATATTTACATTCATCAACTCAAATATCCAGATTAAGTTATTACTATTTGTTTCTATTATTAAGTTATTATGATTGGGGTTATTATTATTAAGTTATTATCATTAGAGTTATTGTTATTAAGTTATAATAATTAGAGTTATCTCATGATCAGAAAATCACATCTGAATGGTATGTCTTACCTATTTACAAAATCATCAACTTTTTCTGTCAAAAGAGCTCTCATAATGGCACCAACTTCAAAGTACGTGGCTGTGGTTGCTATCGATTTTGGAACCACCTACAGCGGATTTTCTTTCTCCTTCTATGGCAATAGAGGCGAAGGAGGGATTCACATGAACAGAGAATGGGGAAACGAAGAAGGACGGAGCACATTGAAGACTCCAACGTCAATTCTTCTATCTCCCAAATTAGAATTTGACTCTTTTGGATACGAAGCTGATGATAAATATGTCCACCTCAAGAACGGAGTGGACAAGGAGTACTATTACTTGAAACATTTTAAGATGGAACTGCACAAATCAAAGGTAAGGTGGTTACTGGAATACACCATACACTTGCGATAACTATAGAAGACAATTTTGAAGGTGACACTCAAGCCTTTGCAGTCGGCGCATGAAAGATAACAGCAGATTGTTAATTAGTTACAAACTGAGATAGTAGTACTCGTAGTTTAAACTCCATATTTTGTTTGATAAAATTCCCTATAGCCTCAGGAAAAGATATGTTCCTTCTCCATTTATATCTTCAGAATCGAAAGTCCAATTTTCAGGATAATTGAATATATTAATTACTAAAAAGTGTACGTAAACATCACCAGCATCTTCGTTTATTTGCAGACCTTAGACCGGAACACTAAGCTTGTGGCAGCCAATGGAAAGCAAATAGATGCCATGATCGTTTTCTCGCTGTCGATAAAATACATGAAGGATGAAGCAATCAAAACCATACGTCAAAGAACAGGAAACGCCTCGTATGATGCAAAGGACATCCAGTGGGTCCTCACTGTTCCTGCCATATGGTGTCCAGGAGCCAAACAGTTTATGAGAGAAGCCGCGTGCACGGTGAGTGCAAGTATTCTCTTCGAAAGGTCACATTTGGTTATGTTTCGTTCCATGACTATGTCCATGAGAGAACTAGGAAGGGGTAATAATGAAGAAGTCGTCGATCTGGCCGGAGCTTGATACTAACGTTATGTATCACTAATTAACGATGATGGGAAAATAACTAATCAACATGTTCAATTCCTTGGGGGATACGGGGTCCCCCTATGAAAAACCCATTTCTTTTAATCGATTGCATAATTGATTGCTAACTTAGCTCTGAAACCTACTGCAAGTGGAAAAAAGAAAAAAAGTCATCTGGAATTTCTGACAACGATTGCCAAGAGAATAACACAAATTTATCAATCGCAATGTGTCGAGTTCGACATAAAAATATGAAAGAAGGCTCTTTTTCACAACTCTTCATGGACGCTTTATTGCTCTCCTCCTCTTAAATACCATCCTGACGGACCTTCATGGCGTTATATAACTTAGGGCAGCAATTTCTCTGACTTCCGAGAGCTATTACAAAGGCAAGAAGAATGGGGTATCTTAGGTATCTTTTTTTCCCAAAAGAAGGGGGAGGGAAGAGAAATTAGGGAAACATTGTTTTTTCTTACGATGGCAGCGCAAATACTTCGGAGCAAGACATTCAGAACTGCTGGTCTTACCTACTGTTTTTTCCGTTTTTGTTTTGTTTTTTGTTTTTTGGATTTTTTTTGTCTCCTTGCCTCCATAGTCCCCTTTCTCTCGCTTCAGATCTTGACTTCTCTTTATTTTGTCTCTTTACTCGAGATCTTTGTCTCTCCCTTTCACACTGTTCTTCCGAGGACCTTTTGCTGATCCCTCAATTACTGCCTTAAATTTTATGTTCTTTAGTTCACCTGCGTCTTTTACTGTACCTACATACCTAATAATACATACCTTTCTAAATAATTGTCCCTATGTCACAAAGCCTCCCTTGATGTCAGAAAGGTCACTTTGTTCTTTTCCATCCATAGATAATTCGCGTCGAGTTTGAGAATGAATTGTCGTCAACTCCAAACCTAATTTCGTCGCTTAGAAGAGCTGTATTGTCATTTTTAATTGAAATGATAATTTTTTATCATATTTCCTTTTAATTTTGAGCTCCAAAAAGTCTGTCTCAATCGAGATGACCTTGCAGCTAAAGTAAAACTGTACACGTCATGTTGTGGATGCACGGCCGTGCATACATACGGATTTTTATCATCGTAGCTCATTGAGACTTAGGAAGGACTTGCGCCAGCGATATGTTATAAAAATGCTTATATGCCATGAAAAAACAAATTATTGTTTGTCTCCCCTCACGGCAAAAGTTTTCTCAAAGCTATTTACATTTACATTTTTTTAATACAATTTGTACATCAAAGCAACAGAAACCGAATTAAGGAGTTTGTTTCTTGTCTACCCAACGCTTTATAGGCGATACCTAAATCCTTATTGATGTGGTGCTCCATACCTATTGTTTGAGTTCCTCAGTGCATGAAGTGCTCAAAAATTGCAAACAACAAAACTCGCTGTTCTTGTATCGTTTAAGACATCGATGCAATGATTTTCCTTAATCTTGTTTACGAGCGAATTGACCCAAACCTTCTCACTGATCGCTCTTTTACACGACGCTTCAAAAACGTTTTATTGCCCTCCTCCACTAAATACCACACTGACGGACACTCATGACCTTACGTAATTTAGGGCAGCAAATTTTTGACTTCACAAAGCAACTTTTTAAGTCCACGACGAGTCGACATTTGACGCCATGTTACTTGCTTGTCTCTTTTGTTCAGCTCACTTTTAGCGTTCTGGGTAGCCCTAAAGGGGATACCGGAAACGCCAGCGTTTGGAGTACGGGAATAATCAAAACGCTGTGACAGCGGCCAAACCTTTGGGAGACTGCTTCGCTTAGCTGAAACTTATAATGCGCAAGGGCACGAACGGCAAGGCCTTCAGTTTCGATTAAGCGTTAAAAAAATATCCTTTATAGCCAGGTTTGATGACGAAGAAGGTCAGTTTTCGTTCTTCGGCTTCTCTGCAGCAAATACAAATCATGAAGTTTGGAAGCTTTGTGGGAATGGTTTCATCAAGTTCTAAATGGATCCTTTGATGATCCAATAGTTTATTTTATTCTAGAGAAGAGGTGGTCTTGAGCTCTGTTGTGTATGAAGTCATGAGGTGTCTTTTTTTAACCTTGAGGCTATATTGAGGCTAGTAATAGTTTCCACTATATCTGCGCCCACCTTTGATGATATAAATTTTTTATCAACCCCTAACACCCTAGCATCAGTTTGCATATTCTCCATACTGTTCTCTATACATTAACTAAGGTGCTGATGAGGAGATTTTGTTTAAAAATCAAGGGCCTCTTGAAGGCTGTTGATCATTTCTTTTATTCTCGTGACTCAATTGTGTGATTCAAGGGTGATACTGTAAGAAGAAACTAGACGCTAGTCACCTTTAAGGGTTAAAACGTTGAGGAAACAGTTTTATTTCTGTATTATTTTGCCTATTATATAACCACGATTGCCCTTTACTGACAAGAAAAGTCGACTTTATTAATGATTGAAAAAAGATGGGATCCACAATCTCCGAAAGAAAGTCGTAAAGCGCGTCTGCGATAAGGTTTTAGATGAAAAAAGGAGTTGAATCATTACAAATACACACACAATGGGCGTAACTTTCAATTAACAAAATTCTCAGTTAATGACCTTTTCCCTACCGACAGAAGAAATCTTCATGGGTGCACGGCCAAAATCAGCTTGTCGCAAATCTTTGAGCTGTCGATTTTCGTTATCAGCCGCTAGAAATGCCATTACCAAAGCCACTGAGTACATAACTTTCAGCTTCAGTACGTAACTTTTCAGCCTTTTCGTATTTTGGATTTTCCTCCCCTTCTATAGAATTTTGAAGGTCACTGTCTGTCAGCGACGACGAATTTTTTAGTATTTTAGCAGCCATAATCCGTGTAAATTTCGACAAACGACATTGAATGGAGAATGGTGAAAGCTTTGCCATTCATTCATCAACCTGACCGAGTGTCGCGAAAGACGAGTGACGTGTCAGCAGCTAATGGGCGATATCAAATACACGTGAAAATTAAATTATAGTATTTTTCACGTGTACTGTCACGGCTTTTCTCAGGGCTGGAAATCTTTGTATAACACCACAGTTTATATGATAAATAATATTACTATTTGCTATTCATTGCAGAGACTTGCATACATTTAAGTTCCATTTTCATTTTTGTTATCATGCATACTGTTTACAACAAGCAGAAATTCATAACGGATGCACTTTTGCATTTGCTGTTGGTTGCTTTTTTCCTTCTTCATTTGAACGGAGGCAATGACTTTACCAAAATGTTTTCTTTTCTTAATTTCATCGTCAATTCCATATACAAAAAGCACACGCAGAGACTACCGTTATGCCTCCTCGGGTTTCAGGTCAAGATGCAGTGTAATATGTAGTAATATTTTGTTCTTTTCCAGGAACCTAGACAAATTCCCCGCTATAAAGCTGTAATATGCAACTTTTCAAATTACTCACAGCTAAATTATCATGTTTTATTCTAAGGCTGGAATCACTTCTGAAAACACCAAGGAGCAGTTAATAATCGCATTGGAACCTGAAGGTGGAGCAATCTTCTGTCGAGAAAGAAGTCTGAGAGATTTTTCCGACCAAAAAGGAGATGCTAGTATTTCTGACGTCTTTACTCGTCCTGGTCATTCTTATGCAATGGTTGATATTGGAGGTAATTCTATTGCTTCTCATTTTTTTATTACATTCGAAAGTGTCGCATAATATCGGCGGGGTAGGTTTTCAACAAGAATATGTCACCAAATTAGCAGATATTGACATCACTTCCTCACTCGATAAAAGTCAACTGAAAAATAAGCCAGTGTTAAATAAAATAAGAGAGATGGTAAGTTTTGAGTTTTTTTAATGAATTAAAGATGGTATTGTCTTGTCACAAGCGTGAGACAAAGTGTTCCGATGCTTTACCAGTGAGCTACACATAACTCTACAGTGGGCACAGACCATTACTATGGTGTTATTTGACACTCTTCATATTGCAGCAGCGAGTATTCTACAGTTTTTTTCTTTTTTTAACTTAATGAAAAGATAATTTTTTAACAAACTATTATAAATTTATTTTCATTTATAAACTTGTACGGTTTTCTGTGATAAGACATCTTGCTGTTTTTGCTTAAGTGCGGTTTGTTAGTTTTTCTCGCCACATGGGTTAGGTTTCTGAAAGTTTTACAAAACTCCAACCTCAGGACTCTTTTCGTGGTGCATGTGAACTCGATTTTACGCGTCACTGGCAGAAATTGAACATTTTAAAATTTCAACTTCGACTTCGTTGAAAAAAGGGGGAGAAGGGGAAAAACATACGCACAAACCACACCCTAAAGATCAGTACAGATACTGTAACCAGAAGGGCTTTTATGAGTTTTGAACGGATATGTATGCCGCCTTCTTCATGCCCGCTGTTTTGCTGAGTTGTTCCCCTGGGAGTCTGATGCAGAACGGCTCCCCTGTTGTTTTGTTTTAGGATCGTGGATCTCAGTCCCAAGACGATGTCTTCTTCACGGTTTCGTTGATGTCGCTAAGGCAAAGTTTTACTTAGATCGTTCTTTTGATCTTTCATGTGTCGTAGTGACTATCATAATGGATAAAATTTACTCTATTTCCGAGTGGATAGTGTCCAAAATAGCTGATGTGATATGGAAATGAAGAGTTTCAGTAAAAGGGGTTGACCACATAGTTGCAGTTGTTATCCATTTGTCTGTTTTGTTTACGTATTTACTAGTTTGGTAAAAAAATGTTCAATCTTTACATTCATTAGGCGGGACGCTAGATGTTACGGTTCATGAGGTCCTCACTGACGGCAGTATCAAAGAAGTTCACCAAGTGAGTGGGGGTCCTTTCGGTGGTATTTACGTTGACCAAAAGTTTGAGCACTTACTTGAAAATCTTTTCGAAAGGGCAACCATCAGGAAATTCCGCACCGATTATCCGGCAGACTGGCTGCGCATGATGAATGAATTTGAAATGAAGAAAAGGGGAAGGCGAGCTTTTGACGACAAGCCCACTCGAATAACTCTCCCCCGTAGCTTCCTTAACCAGGTGTATAAACCCGGAAAGTCTGATGTGGCCGGACGCCTTGCAATGTCTTGCAACATTAGGGATGTAGAAATATACAACGATGAGTTTATCTGCTTGGGGCCCACTGCGATGAAGAGCCTTTTTTATCCAGTAGTTTCTGGAATTGTTGGCCACTTAGAAGGACTGTTGAGAAAACCTGAACTGCAGAACCTGACTTGCCTCTTCATGGTTGGTGGTTTTGCTGAGTCAGTAATTCTGCAGGAAGCCATGAAGACGGCATTTAACATGAGATTTCCAATATTAATTCCCAACTACGCTGGTATTGCAGTTGTTCAAGGCGCAACCATGTTTGGCCAGAAGCCTGAGGTGATCTCTTCCAGAATTATGGCTACGACGTATGGTTTTGGCGGAATCAGATCCTTTAATCCCAAGACAGACGACCCAAAGAAGAAGTTTATCGTTCTGGGTGAAGAAAAGTGCAACGATATCTTTGAGATCATTGTAAAGGAAAATGAGAGTGTAAAAGTAGGAGAGAAGAGGTGTTTCACTCGATACCCCTTATACCCCGATCAAAAGAATGCAGTGACTCGGTTTTACACTTCTACTGATGTAAATGTCAAATACACAACAGACCACTCTGTCGGACCCAGTATAGGAAATTTGTCCGTCGAATCGCCTAACACTTCACTTGGAAAGAATCGCGATATCGAGTTAAGCGTCTTCTTCGGAGGAACTGAAATAAAAGCAACTGCGGTAGATAAGGCAAGTATGAACACCGCTGTTGTGTACCTCGACTTTCTGTGTAAATCTTAAATGCGCCTAAGGTTTCCTTCGTCGGATTCTCCTCCAACGGTCTCTTATTAGTGATTTGCAGGAGGAGTATAGTATGGTGAAAGCAAAGATAAAATTTGCACTGTACTTCTCTGGTAATTTTTTGGGTGGTCTTTGTTCGTTACTCTAGTAAAATAAAATATGTACACAGCAACATCCGACACGAGAAAAAAAACAGGTTTTACTTTTGTTCAGCAGTATTCCTAATATTGTATTCAAGTTGAAATTTGAACTTCCGTTTTTAATAGATTTGCAGTTCTCGTCTCTTTGTAGAGAGGGGAAATGGTACTTAAGAAAACCAATATAGGAATAACAATTGAGTCAATTGAGATTTTATCGAAAACGAGGTTAGAATTTAGGAGGCCAATAATGAATTTGTATTACTCATAGTACTGAAATACAAATATTAAATACAAAGTAAGGCACAGGGGAAAAAATGGGCATACTTTAGACACTTATTTACAACCATACGGTGTGTTGCTTTTAATTCTAGACATACATGTGTAATCGTACCAGATACAAAAATATATATTGAGTATGAGGAATAAAAATTGAGCTCACAAGACTGATCTAAGGATATTCACGGTTTTCGAAATTCTTCTCAAGGATCAGCGTAAAAACGCTTTCAAATCACAAGGTTAGTTTCTTGCTATGTAAATCATGACAACAGTTTCAATTTTACATTTTTGCAGTTGTAATTCACTAAAAGTTACATCAAAAGACCATGAGGTGAAGTTCTCTTGGTTATGGTAGGATTTGGCACGTATAGGATAAACACCCTCAGAGAAAAGGCGATTTTAGTGATCGGCATTAGATTCAGTTTACTTAAAGTCGAGTTACTCACTATTACTTGCTTCATTTAACCCTTAGTTATCTCTTCCGAAAATTTTTTGTAGCCACGATATAGCAGCAATTATGATAAACTGTTGATATTTTAGGACAATTTTTGGTATAGATACAACAGAATAGGGTTTGCTCCCACGAGTTTTCGTTGAAAAACTAACTGTTGATCGTTCGTCGACCTGGCTGACATTTCAAAAACCCGAGCGAGTCAAAGAAAAAGCTGTAGGTTTGCCAGTTGAAAGATTTAGATGCACCTTTTCACATTGTATTATATAAAATTTGTGTTTTTCGAGTGGTACTTTTTTCCTTAAGAAGACAAATGTTTAATGGTACTTGTTAACTACAAGAGTTGGGCAGAGTAAATATTCCGAGTCTTGTCATCTTGTTATGCTATGTCCGCTCTAAGCAGTTATACTGATTTTGTAGTAATATACATGTACCTATAAGTTGTAAATAAAAGCAATTAAAAAATTAGGCATCCGACGGCTGTATGTGTCTCCTGCTAGTATGCATAAAATAATTGTAACTAGAATTGACCAAGGTTCATAATGGGTCTTGTTGCAACGTCTTTTAGCCTTTTCCTAGTTTCCAATCTCCGCGCAACATTGGCATATTACGATAAGTTTCGCGCCAATGAGTCAACTTTTTCTAGAATGTCTCTATGTCGTTTTGTACAAGTATCCTCTGTCAAGTATGTTCTTGCTGTCCTTCTCTTGTTCAATTTTCGTTTACCTTGATTGTGAACAATGTACATTACTGTTAGTTAGTTTCGAATCTCAACTGTTTTATTTTTTGTTTTTCCACAAAAAAACACCTGCTATCGTTTTTACCTTTAATTGCTTTTTGTAAAGTTTCTGTAAACCGTTTCTTTTAGCTCCCCTTGATCAATTTCAGAATTTATCACCGATCGTGTGCCGCATTGTTAGAGGAAGCGGAGCTTAGAGAAAATTAAAATACTCGCAGGAGTTTTAAATAAGGTCCCACCGGAGTCTGTAGAAGACAAATTTCGCGAAAAAGCCGAGGCAATAAGCGACATTTCCAGAAAATCACTATTTGATAAGACTTCCACTTTACGTTAAAATAAACATGTGGAAAAATAGCAAAAGATTTTTCCCGTTCAAAAAATTAAGTCCATAAATAGGCGAAGGGCTGTCTCTCATACTAACATTACGTAGAAGAGGCGAGTTGTTATACTGAGTGAAACTAAGAAAAAAATGCAGCTCTCTGACGATTGTGTGGTATAAAAAATTTTTTTTTCTCGATTGTGGGGTACTCGCTTCGCTGATTCATTTCAATTTTGCCGCCGGTAAGTCTTAAAAAGTCCCTAATGTAACATAATGCGCAGTAAATTTTAATAAAATACCTCTTCCACACTAGCGCATAGGATTTCAAAGTAAACGTGCAAATATTTCCAGAGTAGGAAGTGATCTCATTTTATTACGAATAATTAGCAAGAAGAAAATAACCAAGAAATGTTTCGAGACAAAAGCTTTACTCAAAACAGTTCTTTATTTGCCGTTGAAAACGAAAAACGCACGAACTTCTTCAGTGTAAGAAACCCACGCTGTAGAATTCACCACGCCTAGCCGATCGTTATTTACTTGACTTCACAACCAGAAAATTTGGTAACGTTATGTTGGAAATTCTGACATTTGTAAGCTTCGACAAAATCTTCTCTTAAAAAATACTTTCCTGACATATCATCATTTACACATAATATCTAACAGGCTTTGGAATCGTCAAATTGCCACTGGGCTTAAAGTTCGAAAGTTCAGTTTTCACCAATGGCAATAATTCGTATCACTTCGGTGAATCGAAGTGTCGTTGACTCGAAAGCTCATTCTGTCGCTTGTAAGACTTTTTATCCATTCTTTTCCAAGAAGAGTTTTCTATAGCATTGTTTCTTTTCATTTTGAGCTCTAAAAGGTCTAACTCGATCGGAAAGGAACGGAAAATCCGACTTAACATTTTTTGAAGTCAACCGCCCTTACTGGCTTTCCTTAGCTTTGAATTTGATTGACTGAGAAATTGGCACGACTGCTCCGGACCAATCATAAGGCGAAGTAAAGCAAAATCAAAGCAATTCAGGATTACTTCCGACTTTTAATTGAAAATTACTCCATTAGCTTTTTCTTGCTCCATAAAAAGTCAATTCTTTTGGATAAAATTTAAAAGATCTCAAGTGTGAAAATCGGGCATGCCTACAACATTATGTACAAGGGACGCAGGATTAACAAGAGATTTCTCCAGAGGAACATCAATGTCAAAAGTATGACGTAATGGGCCTCGTCCTGATGTCTTCCGCGCATTGCGTGCTGGGATCGGTAGTTCAGAATGGTGAGCTGGAAGAGGCTCCGTGAAAAAATAAGGATGTAATAAAGCCTGGAATGAAATGAAACGATGCACTGGAGTGATACTTGACAAGTAGAAAACTTCAATCTGTACTAACTGGCATCAGATATTCCTTTAAACCTTCATGAACTTGTGAATGAGTTGGAGAGGCTTTATTGCAGCTATCATAATTATGAATAAAGGGGTCAGTTCCTAAAGAAACCGTGGTGCTGCGTCGGTGGGGAGTATTACAAGATAGTTTGGTTTAATTAAGTTAGTTGATGACGTCAATTTGCCACCGTTTGGAGTTTCTAAAGCTGATAATAAATAAGAATGTATTTCCTCCTGGGTTTTTTCACGTTACCATGTTCCAACCAATAGCGTGGCTCCATCTTCCTGTATAAAAACCACAAACAACCCACAATTCCTCGAATGGATCGGACGATACGCCCACGCTGGAAATATAGGTTTTAGAAACTCTTAACGGTGGCCAATTTGAATTAACGACTCTGTTGGAAAAATCAAATTACTTTATCATGGTTGTGGATGACTTTTAAAGCTAAGTCTTCAGATTTGAAAGATTTCGCAAAGATCAACTAAACACTTCCACTGACCTCTTTTGCGGAAATTCTCTCTTTAGAGTGATACACCAAGAAGCGTTTCAGCAAATCTATCGCCTGAAGAAAAATAAAAATAAGTTACCAACCTGTGCACGGCTTCCAAGAATCATCCTTTCAATGAAGCTTCAAGTTTGAGCACGGAAGCGGCAAATTAAATGCTTATCACGGCACAAAAAGACCCCAGCGATATTTAAATGAGAAGATAACTGTTACTAGTGTAATTTTACACACGGCACACGCACCGGGTACGTATGAAAATATCTACGGAACACACGCACCACATGCGCGGCACACGCACGGGATGTTCATGATACACGCACCTCTGGTGAAGCATCAGGAACAATATTCTCTAGAGGTATTGGCGGCATTTCAGGAAAAACGATTTTGTTGTAATCCGGTAGTTCTGTCATTCCCTATTTCAAGGAGAAGGAATTAGCTGGCTTGCACTGAGGTTAAAATTCTATTTGTCATTTTAATGAAAATTTTAGCAAATTATAAATCAAAAATCTATTTCTAATACAATGCTGTGAGCTTATCCGGCTTATTTAAAGAATTCCATTAAAAAAATCACATACAAATGTGACTGAATTCATACAAAACACGATAAAATACCAAAACTATAAGATTCCGAACACCATCGAGATACATGGACTGTTTTCTTAGTAATTTCATGGAGGTGGAGCAGTCATTCCAGGTATCAAACAAGTAATTGTTGTCATTGTACAGATACTCAAGCTATTATAAATATACACCAGGATCCTACGAGCAATGGGCTCCTGTATACATCTGATTGCAGCAACGTTGTCATGGAAAAAAGCAAAAAAAAAGCCAAATTCGAATTATTTAGCATATAGCATAAGCATACCGCATCAGCAAATAACATTCTTCATTGTTTGGAATGCTTCAAATTTTGTATAAACAACATCTGATAACGCCTGATTTAGTCTAAATTCCTTGACAATTGATGGGCTGCCGGACATATAACCAGAGGGTAGTTTTTAAATGCTAATAAATTGCTATTTGGCTTTTTTCTTTGCTTTTGTTTTTGTTTTTTTTTTTCAATGACATTGTTATTGCAACTAGGTTTTAGACCAGTTCAGCCACGAAATGTTACACGTTTCTGTTACCTGTCCTTGACTGGGAGTTCCCAATACTCGAAGTACACAGTAAAGCTGTGTAATGTCACTTTCACCCTGAACAATAAAACAACGAAAGGAAGAAATATAAACAATTTTTCTCCAGATATGTTGATCAGCTCTTTCCCCTTATTAATCCTTAAGTTACCGTCTGATTGGATAAAATTTCAAACTATACATGAGAAAAGAGAAAAATTCCGAAGAAATCATAGTAAGAAAAACTGGAAACAATAATAAGGACAATAATAAGAAGTAATAATAACAACTGATGGGTAAAAGATAAAACGAGGATAAAGAAGACTTATGGGGTTGCAAAATAGGAACTCAAAAAATCTAGAATACATATTTCATGATAAAACAACTGTGACGTGATTTCATTCATTTTTTTCCTGTTTTCTGCTTATCACGAGCAAGCAAATCTCTTTGACTATTATTTGCCTTCTTGTTCCCATTTCAGTTTCAAACTTTTTCCACCATGCAACGAATTAACTTCATACAAAAGGAAGTCTAGCCTGATCCAGGTCTGGAGTTCAGTTATTAAAACGAAGCACGTTAGGAAACAGCGCAATAGCAGAAGTGGAGTGAAAAAACGAGAGGTTTGGGTCGAGTCGCGTCGCGTCGCGCACAGAACGCGACCAGACCTCTCTCGTTTTTTCACTCCCCCGCTTCTGACGCGACGTTTACTATTTCGTTTCGTTTTAACCCTTTACGTGTAACTCCCAATATCTAGTTGTTAATTCTCCCCTCCAACTACAACACATTTCCTTGTAAATTAGTTCCAAGAATTTAGTATTAGATCAAGATAACAACTTCTACCTGATAAGTTTGAATATTTTCATTACCTGTTTAATGCTGGATAATGAATATATATTTTAGGGGGAAGTTACATGTTAATCAATATTGGGAGTTAAAGGGTTAATAACTGAACGCCTGCAATAGGCTTAATGACGTCATGCCATATACTTACTGGAAAAAGTGGAGAATTGTTGAGGAGCTCTCCAAAAATACAACCAACTGCCCTGTAAGTACAAAATAAACAAACACAGTGTAAATAAAACACATTACCTCACACAAAAGTGGTTAGTAAAAAACACCCTATAGTTTCCTGCGCTTTTACAACCCAGTCCCCAAACGAGGTAGTCTGATAGTTAGTGTGATGGATCCCCAGAGGTAGGCTCAGACACTGGTGCTTGCTGGGTCATTGTGTTGTGTTCTTAGGCAAGGTACTTCACTCTCATGGCACCCTTCTCCAGCCAGGAGTACACAGGGGATATCATGAAACTCTCAAGAAAACCTGACATGAAGCTGAGCGAGTAACCTGCAATGGATGTGCATCCCACCCAAGGGGTGAAGGGGGTTGGGGATGGGGGAGGCAATATGCAGCAGTGTCTACCTCTAGGATGTTAACTCACTTTGCTCCACTATGCAGTCACCACTGGTCACAAGGGATGCAATCCTGTACAGCACCTACTCACTTAATGAATTACAAATTGTAGCATTCAAAATTTGATAAAATGGTTTTAATACCAGAGATCAACTCCTTCATCATATTTCCTTGCTCCATACAGCAGTTCAGGGGCTCTGTACCATCTGTTTGTGACAAAAAAAGAGAAGGAAAGTCTCTATAATAACAGCTGCTCTTGGACACAAAAAATACTAGGTTCCACATGATAATAACTCCAACCTCAGACCTCTGGATTTTGCAATCCATGTGATGACCATCATCAAGCTACATAGAGTCTGTTGGGGGCCGTAGTAATAAGCTTCTTGCTTACTACCAGGTTCAGCTAAGTCAGAGCATTTTGTGTCTAATCCTAGTTGTTATTTCAACCATATACATATATTTTAGAGAAGTGATTAAATAAACAAATTATTCAAAAGCTTTATTGCTTAAATCAAACCTTGTAGCCACTTGATGACTGTATTGTCTGTTGCCATCATTGGAAAATACCCTAGCAAGACCAAAGTCTGCTATCTTAAGGTGTCCAGTAGAACTGATGAGCAAGTTTGCAGGCTTCAAATCCTACGAGGAAAGAAGTATCACAGGGGTTACAGTAGCAGCCCAGTAGTGGGTAGATCTTCACACTAGTAATGTGCTGGCTACCAGCTAGTAGTCTTTACACAAATATCATTGTACAGTCCTCATATACATGCATTTCTCATCAAATTGGTCGACTTTTGGCAACAGCAAAGACACATAAATATGAGTAGACATTAAAATGCAGGAAAATGCAACTGTAAGAGTCTACACCTTCAAAATTTCCCATTGTTTATGGCGAATATTTTTGATATAATAATCTTTTTCTTGCAGGAAAACTTGAATAGCTTCCATCACTCACCATGTGCAATTAATAGTGGGCCTTAGCATGAAGATCTGACCCATATACTTTTTAGCTGTCAACATTTTTTACATTCATGTGTATCTCAATAGTAATAGATTCCTGTACATACCCTATGCATTATAGAGTTCTCATGGCAAAACACTACACCTTTTAACAACATCAGCATGTAGCTTTTGATCTGAGCCTAAAAAAAGAATTGATTACATACAGTACATGTCAGCCTACTTGCAGATGATTTCAGTAAATGCTCCACAAAATTTAGTCCCATCTCCTTATTGAGTAAAAGTTGTTATCTGATCTAACACTAAATTCTTTAAACTAATTTATAAGGAAATGAATAGCAGCTAGAGGAGAGAATTAACAATTAGATCTTGGGAATTGAGGAGTTAAGGCAGAGTCAAGTAGGTGTATGTGTAGGCCTACAAGCTCATTGCTGCCACAGTGTATCCAACTTACTATAGCATGACGTGACTATGAGCAGCACATGATTACATTGCTCTTTCTTAAGTTAAAGTCCATTCTAATTTGCTGTTACCCATGGATTCGTACTCATAAGTGGAGAGTAACACTTTGAGAACAGGATCTTTAATGCGTCTCATGTACTTACCCAAAAGCACAACTAAATGAAATAGTTTGAGCCTAAACCAGACCTTTTAAAGGATAGCTACATATGTGCATTCCAGCATTCTACCCACTACCAATGTAAGATCACTGCATCTCCCTGTTTAGAAAAATTAATATAATGCACAGTATCTCTGCTACAAACCTCAGTCAAGGGTCTGGCAGAGTTGCGCAGGACTTCAGACAGATCAGAGAGCATGTACTCAAACACCAGCACAAATCCAGTGCCATAAGGGAACACATCAATCAACTTGACAACCTGATCAAGGAGAGCCAAGAAATAGGTTAGAAATACAATCACAGAACTGTAACTTCTTTGCACACTGTAAAATACATTCCCAAATTCCATTTACATGCATTTGCAAGGAAGAAGAGGAGATCTCATGCAGACATGTATTCTACTCAGAATGATCAAGGTTGGGTCCAAACCCTGAGTGAGGTCACTTGCAGGCAAGACATTTCAGTCATCATCATATACCACCAAGAATATCTATGGTTACAGGCAAACTGTTAACCCTCTACATCCTAACATCAGTGTGTATATTCTCCATACTGTTCTCTATAAATTTCTTACGGTGCTGACAAGGAGAATTTGTTTAAGAATTGTGACCCTAATGGGTGATTCATGGGTGATAATAATTAACCCTTTAACTCTCACAAGTGACCAAGACAGAATTTCTCCTTACAATATTGATACAATATCAAGCAGAAAAGTAATGAGAATAAAGAAAAATATCAGTTAGGGGATTAAAAGATGATTCAATACCAAATTCTCCAAACTGGCATCACAGGAACTCTATGGCAGACAGTAAGGAGAATTACTAATGAGATCTTGGGGGTTAAAGGGTTAATGCATGTGTAAACTCCACATACTTACATTTTGGTTGTCTTCTATTTCTTGTAATGCTTTAATTTCTCTAAGTTCAAAGTAATGAGAATTACTAATGAGATCTTGGGAGTTAACTGATCTTTTAACTGTCCTCTTATTTTGTCCAATTACAAGTATTAAGCATACACCAGGGATGTAGATAATAGCTGGAAGCAGGGAAAATTACCCAGCTGTGAACGCGATTTTTCTGGCTGTGAAGCACTACTTCTCTCTCCAAAATGTTTTTAAATGTTGTCAGAAGATTGTTATTTATTTATTTCATTTGTTTACACCTTTAAATCTAGGTATAGCGTGTCAAAGGCACACTAGAGTGGGCCTTCAGCCCAAATACCCACCTATCATTCCAAGATTCCTGCCTGTTAAAAACTTGAGCTACATCCCTGTACACTATCCTATTAGTGCTCAAATCAGGCTGGTGATAACTGATCACATTCGATAATTTTATTATAGTTTTGGTTAAAAAAATAGTAGTGATAATAATAGATTGCGTTTGGGACTATGACTTTGTTTTACAGAAATATGGGGCTGTGGGAAAATCTCTGCTGTCAAATTGCTGTTGCAACCAGAAAACAAATAACAGCTTCTAAAAAACTATGCAAAATTAATACCAAAAGGTCAAATAAGACTATGAAACCTCAACGCAGTATTTGGTATGCCATCCTCAATCTTTCTCAATGGAACTTTCTTTAAAGCAACAACTTCGCCACTCTGTGAAAATGAAAAATGAATTATCACACAAATAAATAATGAAGAGACTAGGAAGAAAAATCAAACTACAGTTATCTACTACAGAAAAACCTGGATGAACATTTAAATTTCTTTTTTTTTTTTACATGCCATATGATAAAAAAATATATAGTTTATGTTATGCCAACGATCATGTGTGATCTTTAATAGGGCTTCCATACTGCAGTACTAGGATTCCAGTCTCGAATGAGTAGAAAAAATTTTCATTAAGCTCTTCATTACCAGTTATCATATATTTACTTTTGTTTTTTAACGCTTGTCTGGCTAAAATGCTGGCACACTCCTACAGTGATCTGCCTGACAGTCGGATATAACTAACCTTGGGTCGAATAACTGCAGATCGAGACAGATTACTCATGTAATAAAACTCAGAGAATTAAGCCTGCACTGTGTATGCTAAAGAAATATTTACCTCAATGTGCTTAGCTTTGAAAACAATTCCATGAGCTCCCTCGCCAATGTTTCCAAGGATCGTGTACTGTCCGCAGTGTTCCATGACAACCGATCAAAACATATCGTCCCGTTTAAACTAATAATGAATCAAAGCTTTCCTCGATAAAATATAAAATCATTTTGTCTTGAAGCCTTACATTGCCATCAGATTTAATTACGATAGATGGATAGGTTTGTCCCTAGCCATGAAAGCAGAACAAAACAATTAAGGAACATGAAGAGGACGCCATTTTCAATAATGCAAAGACACTGGATCGAAAGATATCAAGGAAGTCTGGAAGATAGTTAGTGCATTCTTATCGGACAGCGGCTTCAGGGAGAGTTCATGCGCTCCTGTTATCTACGTGTTGTTAGAGTCAGTGAACGAGGATGTATGTGGCTAACACTTTAAGCGCTAGAAGCATTGTGAAGACAACTTTTTCTGAATGGAGGATTTTTCCTTAACCTCCACGTGTTTCTAAAGTTTTCAAACTGAGAAGTGCTCGCGTTTAAATAGCCGTTATGTTGTGTTTTGTTGTGTTGCAGAAATTTAGTGTAATGCTGTTGTACCACCTCGTATTCGTAGTTGTGCCGTGCTGTGTTCAGCTGTAACGTTGTTTGTAAGCACTTCGTTGCTCTGTAGTTTCGTTTGCACCTGTTGTTGCTTGTGTATATTGACTCTGAACTGCCGATGATGACAAAAGGCGAACCAGACTTCAGGGATGGTGAAATTCATAGTTCTGAGGCAGAATTATGTTTAGACTTCAGACTTGAGATCGCTTCTTGTATGGGCGGCCGTCACCGGGAAAAATACAGGCATAATAAATGGTTTGTAATAAAAAGAAATGGTCTAATTGTCTCGTAAGTGCTAAAACATGAAAAAACCACCTAAAACCTCCTAAAACCTCCTAAAACCTCCTAAAACCACCTACAACCACCTACAACCACCTACAACCACCTCAAAAATTGGTAGTTACTAAAACAAGGAATGACCTGAAATGACCTAAAACGACCTAAAATGACCCAAAATGATCTAAAATGACCTCGAGTGTTTCTAAAATGAAACGCAGACTTTTGTTTTTGGCTTGTCGCGCAAAATTTCTAATTTTATTTTACATGATCTAGCTTGCAGAGCAGGCGTAATTTTGGCGAGCGAGTGTTCAGTAATTTCATAACGAAGATTATGGCCGCCATCTTTGATTTTAATGGCAGCGGAAGGCTGGGGAGAGTAAAAATTTACACCAAGGGGGCGGTCGACGGTCAAAAATAAGGAGAGGGGTGGGGGTAGGGGAGTGAAGATTACAAGTAATTCAAGTATTCGTCAAACTCGAGCGACACTAGCTTGGAGATTCCCTTATATAGTTCAGGCTTAATTTCTTCGTGCCTTAAAAGCGCATTAATCGCTTCTCTCCATTGTTTAGTAGCAATGTTCTTCATCAATGTTTTTGTTTGGGAATCTCTGGGAATTCTCGCAGTCACGTTTCCAGACGGATTCATGAACACGATTTTTATACCATCGTTTGAAAGATCTTCCACATTCTTATGACTAAGCATCTAGTTTTCCTGTACCAACAAGGCAGACAAGGTATTCACAGCGTTTTCAAAGACGAGAGACTTTTTCGATCGCGTGAGAGGAGGAACTTCCCTCAACGGAGTCTTGCCAATTGGAGAACTAACATGTACAGATTTTGATTTCCTCCACGGTGGACTAACTTTATCTGGCGTGTCAAGGTTTCTTTTGCTAGTTTTCACTGGAGTAGACTTCATTGCAGTCGCGTTCTTGACAAAGTGGTACAATTGGCCTAAATTTCGAATCTTACGGCCACATGGGTTGCAAACACGATCTGAAAATCTCGAGCTATCTTGCACCAAGGAAAATCCAACTTGACGAAAAATTTCGCTCAAAATAACTACAAAACACTCCTTCCGTTTCGAAGGTTTGAAAATATTTTCTGATGAAGAGTGCCTTTGCTTGGGGAGATTTCCGAACTGAATTTTGAAGGAAACTCCACAAAGCCTACAGTTGTCACTTGCACTCTTATCGGACATTACGCATTATGTAGCTAGATTTGACGGCTCGGCTCCACGTGTGTTTTTTTTGCCGGAAGTCATTGTCAAAGGCTTTTAAATAAACTCATTTTTATTGGTTACCTTCTTGTTTCCGGAAATGCAGTGAAGCGCAACTAATCAGGGGGCGTATGGCATTTTAACAGCCTCTTCGGGCAGGCGTCTTTTCGCCCTTCCCCCGCCCCCTACCCCCACCGTCCACTCTAACTGCAAATCCAAAATCCGATCCGTGATCCAATCCATGATCCGATCCGTGATCCAATCCGTGATCCGGTCCAGTCTGCAAACTCAAGTCGTTTAAGGACATTTTAGAAATTAATCAAGGTCATTTTAGGTCATGTTGAGTCGTTTTAGGTCATTATAGGTCATTATAGGTCATTTTAGGTCATTTTAGGTCATTTTAGGCCATCTTAGGTCATTTTAGGTCATTCCTTGTTTTAGTAACTACCTTCAAAAATTTCAACAACCACCTACAACCACCTAAAAAAACATCCACAGCCACTCGCAAACAATCTAAAACCATCTAAAACAAGGCATAAATGTCAAAGGCGAGACGACAACATGTCACGTACATGAAATACGAGAATCGAACAAAACCTCCACCTCCCCCTGAAATCTTACTCTCCCTGGTCCGTTGTAAAATCAACCATCGCACGAAATGAAATGCAAGAACATGCTAATTATATTTTATATCAGCCGTGGCTACGCACACCTTGGGTTTGGGGCCTTACGGAGGGTAAATGGCTTGGGTTTGGTTAAGTTCATGTTTCATGTTACCCTTGGGGATGCGGTTACACAGTAAAAGACTCCCGTTAGGGTCAAATATAATTAGATATGAGTTCACTGACCTGACAAATTGGTAGGAAAAGTACAGAGCAACATGGATGTTACGAATCGAGATCTATTAAGCTTAATTTCAGTGATTCTCCTGCCTTTTATACGACAGTCCTCCAGCAGTTTTTTGCGAGAAGACACCGCAGAAGGCGCGAAATTAGCCAAGCGCATCGGAGGTCACCTCAAAACACTGCAGGCGATTTCCTATATTAGCTACATTCTGCTTTATGATTGGTCAAGCCACCTCAGGGAGCAGATGAACTGAACTTTTCGGTTCAGGAACTGTCATGGGAAGTTCTTTTGTTCTTTTTGATGTATCCATGGAAATAATCCTAGAGCAGTTTTGGTCTGGGGAAAGCGGTTACACTCAAAAACGTCCTTGCCCGTGGGCAAACGCTATTTACCCATGGGTAAAAGGGCCAGTGTAACAACGGCTATTACCTCAGTAGTACTGGTAACTTTACAAGCAGACGTTTTGGCTCACGTCTCATTTGATTACGTAATGGTCCAAGGTATTGCTTTTCTTCGTTTAAAATCTCAGCACCGGAAATGCAATAGGAGCAAAACGTGAGTCACTATTGCGTGAGTGGCACCACTCGTACAACTGCATGCTGTATAAATGCCAGCACGATGGTGTTTGTGCCAAAGGAAGATCCCGAAGGTACGCACAATTCGCTTAAAATATTTTTAATGACCATTCTTATTCATACTTTTTCCGGCTAGACGTGAGCCAAAACGTCTGCTGGTACCCAGAGTAGAAAAAGCCAAGTCAATTCAGTCTTTTGACTACGAGTTTGTTATTTTACTCTATTATTTTTGGAAACTTGATGGTTCAGTTTTTGAAACATGAGCCAAAACGTCTGCTTGTAAAGTTCTTTAAGTCTTTTACTACTGAGATAAAGGAGGTGGAGGTTTCGTTCGATTCTCATTTTTCACGTATATGACATGTTGTCGTCTCGCCTTATTTTAGACCTTTATGCCTTGTTTTAGATGGTTTTAGATTTTTTGCGGGTGGCTTTAGATGTTTTTGAGGTGGTTGTTAAAATTTTTGAGGTGGTTGTAGGTGGTTTTAGGTGGTTTTAGTGGTTCTACGTTTTAGTACTTACCCTAATTGTCTTTTGGAGAACGGTTTATCAGTATCTCAAGAGATTTATTCAAAATATAAATGGACAAATCGCCTTTGGTGAAATGAAATCTTCAGTATCAATAGTTTATACAATTCAGAAACTGTGCAGCTATCCTTGTTGAACTGATTAAAAAAAAAAAAAATTGGCCAAGTGTTTACTGAAACGGTTCGGTGCCGAAATGACAAACGGTTCAGCTAACTGTACTTTTGTTGAGTGACTTGACACAAACGGTTCAGAGTGGTGTGAAATGGCTCAAGTTATCGGCAAATGGTTAATCGTCAGCCGCAATGGTATAGTATCGCATCAATCTACCCACCGTAAAGTGAAATGGTTTTAGCGTGACCCCAAATGGTTTAGCTTGACGACAAAAGGTTTAGCACAAACCGAAATGGTCCAGTGTTACAGCTGTTGGTTTACGCCATAAAAGTCAAAAATACAAAAGTGAAATCGATAAGTCAAGCTTCAAATGAAACATTCGATGTGGGGTCTTAGGTCACAGCCCTATAGTTTTTATAGTTTTTAGGCGCCCCGATAGTTGTAGTTTCGTCGCCCTAAAACAACGAATCGCTTTATCAAGTTTCCAAGTTATGGTTCTGACTGTCTAGACTTTAAATGTGCTGTTACGTAAAATGATGCATTTTATCAGTATTTTTGTCGTTCGTTTTATTTCAGATTCTTATTTTATCTTGAGGTAGTAAAATGGAGAATTCTTACCATAGTCACCCGTAACCATAGTAAGAATTCTCCATTTAAAGTACAGCAGTTTTCACCGTAAACTATTTATAACTATGTAGTTTTTAACTATATAGTTTTGATAGTTTTTAGGCGCCCTTTAGTTGTAGTTTTGATAACAATGAATCGCCGTATCACGTTTTCTAGCAATGGTTCTGACTGAGGTCGTAAAATTTCTAATAGTCGCGGCTTAACCTTGTTGGGAGTTCAAATTGCTGTTAGCCAGTTTCAAATTGTTCTTTTCGGTTTCTTACAGTGAAAACTGCCGTTCTTTAAATGGAGAATTCTTACCATGGTTAAGCCTAACCATGGTAAGAATTCTTTATTTTACTACTTCAAGATACAATAAGAATCTGAAACAAAAGAAATGATTGAATAACTGATAAAATGCATCATTTTTGCGATAGCACACCTACAGTCTAGACAGTCAGAACCATTGCTAGGAAACGTGATATAGCGATTCATTGTTTTAAGACGACGAAAATATAAATAAAGGGTGCC